GAATTCTAGCGGCAAAGTCTTTGAGGAATCCAGCTCCCAACAGACACGTCTTCTCCGCGAACATCCTCCCGGCTCCCGTCTCTTCCATTTGATATTTTATCAACTCCTCACTTCTAGCGGTCATGATATCGGCGGCTTTCATAAGGACGTCTCGACGATCGTACGGCTTCATCCTGCTCCACGCAGGGAAAGCAGCCTTCGCGGCTGCTACGGCGCGGTTGGCATCGTCGACTGAGGCGCCGGCGCATTGATGCAACACTTCACCAGTAGCGGGTGCATGGATATCGAAAACTTTCTCCGTCACGACGGACTCGTTATTGATGATGAGGGGGATGATGGCAGAATCGCCTTTAGCACTGTTTGCAGCCATATTGATGGTTTCCTTGGAAGGGTATCGAACGCTGAAATGAGAACGAGAGAGAAATACAAGAGATTAATGAGTATAATATGTACAAGGCAAAAAGGAAGGACTCGATGATGAAGAAAAAGGGAGCGTGTTGCGGAAGCTTGCCCCTCTTGAACACGGGAGCGTCTGTCGGGAATTGTACCTCTTGGAGGCAAATTTCTCCAGGGGTAGCAGGTTGCTCCAATGGGGGGGACAAACTCTCAAGGTTGGTTCGGTAGTGAGGTGGGGGACAGAAACTGACACCGTTCTTCCATCCGTAATTCCATTAGGACTTCAAACTAAACCAATATGACGATGATCATGTTGGAATCGGGAAGCCTCTAGCTGAGGGGTATCTAATAGTTCAATTCTTTATATGTCATGCACCCCGCGGAGTTTAGCCGAGAGAGAGTAACGAGCCTGACAGCACTACACTGAAAAGGAAGCATTGAACTATTATTCCTATTGCCATAGATACGTGCGAGTCCACCCTTAAAGCCTACAGAAAAAAATATATATATATGTACCTCTCCATATGGAGCGGTTCACTGTTGGTCATCACTTGGAGATGTGTGCGGAGTCAAGGTGCTAAAGAGGTACTAGTTCAAGTACCTTAGGTGGTGCAGATGCTCCTATCTGATTGGCGAGGATGATGCGCGGCCATTATAGAGACAGCTCGACAACTGCCTTGAAAAATTGCCGGAACTGCATCAGTGATTATTAAGCATTGTTTTGCATGCAGTAACTTAGTGCGGAATCAGAAGAATTCTCATTGGACAAAATAACAGTGGTCTTTATGTTTTTTGTAAATAATCATTTCAAGCGCAACCTTCTAAAGCTCTTCAAGAAGACAGATATTGACAGGACTATAATATCTCAACTGCTCATATTGGACTAATATTCAACTCGTCACTCGTAATCTCCGTGAATTCTCACATCAAACCTGGTCATGGCGCTTATTAGCCCTACTGAGTTGGCCAGAACAACCTAAATCTAACCTAATCTATGTACAATAAGTTAATAACTATGGAAAGATCTGGCGACTCGTATTTTTGGTACGCATCGCAGTGTCGCACTCACTGAGACAGCCTGACTCTCAGGGAATCAGCCAGAGTAGTCAGAAGTGAACGAAGCTTGTTCGGAGTACTTGAAGAATTTATGATGATTGACTAGAAAAGTATAGGACCACTGGTTATCTTTTATTAACAGAAGGGGAGTGCTGCCTCTCCAGGCGGATATCACAAGCGAATACGTATCACAAAATGAATAAACCCCAAACACCATGCATGCAACAAATACCCAATACTAGAAGGAAAGCCAGCGTGTATATGAACCCCCACCACGCCATCTATGCGTTTTTATATTCTATTGAGAAGCCGCAAATGCAAAAACAAGCACAAGCATCAGCATCGTCATCACCGTCCAGCCCAGATCTTCGTCTCGGACGACGGCCTCGCCATATCCGAAAACGGACACGCGGATGTCGCCGACGGGGCCACGCTGCTCGCGATACTGGAGCGGTCGTCATCGCTGGAACTCGCCGATGCGCTGCTGTCGCCGAGGATCTTCTTCTCGCCGATGTAGCCTTCCTTGTCGTCGAGGATGATCTCGGACATTTCGTCGGCGTACTCCTCTCCGTCGCGGAGACGCCATTTGGCGAAGAGGTCGTTCTGGATCCAGATGATCTTGCCGATGGCGCGGACGAGAGCAACTTTGCGTTGAAGAGATAGCTTGGGGTGGGACATGAGGGCTTCGGTGAAAACGTCCTGAATGAACCCGAGCATGACGCCGATGTGGATGTATTCGATGTTGAGGGGAATTCGTCGTTCTTGACCGGAGTGCATCACTCTAGCTGTGGGTTAGTGGATGTTCTTTTTGTTTTGCTAGAGAGAGATGGATGGAAAAGTGAAGGGACTTACCCGACTTTGTTTAGGTACCGCCAGAACTCCATCTCAGTCGGATCGGAGCAGAGCTTAGTCAGGTACCACCTCAAGAACATCTTCCGTCGCTGGATCTGCGGGCTGTTCTCGGTGTACCAGTCATCGACGGGTGTGGTCTCATCAGAGGTATCTCTTGTGATGAAGGCGCGAGCGGTGATGTCTTGTTCCAGGAGCTTTTTGTAGACAATGTTGACGATGGCAGGGATCAGCGCCTTAATGTACTTAGAGCCTGTGGTTAAAGCCTCGATATCACCTGCGCACTCGTTAGCTTGGATCAAGCGAACTGTGCTTTGGCAAGAGGAGACGGCATACTGGAATTGAAGTCGAGAAAGTCTTTGAGGTAGTTGATGCGAGCTTCGAGTCTGGTATACAAGGCCTTTCGGCTCACGTGCTTAACAGGACGGCCACCCTCAAGGAGAGCCTCCATCTTTCTCCTTCCTTCAGACGCCTGCATGGTTGCTGTATGTGATGGTGTTGCTGTTGGTTCTCCCCGGAGATGGTGACAACTGTGACTAGAGGTAAATCACGAACCACTGTGGTCACAGCTCTGGTTAGGATAATAGGTGATTAGTTTATGGAGCTCACTCCGTAGTAGGAAATGGATAGATCTGGATCGAGAATTAAAGAATAAATCGACCCGTAGATATGAGATACTGGTCCCCCTTTATACGAGAGTCCGAGGACAAATCACCTCGAGACACAAGGAAAAACTTATATTCCCCATGCAAAAATAACATGGTCGGAGCCATGATCCCGATTTTTTCGACTGAAATCCTCCTTGGTCCGAGAGCACTCCACACGGGCGTCGGAAACTGTTCTAAAATTGATCACATCATTTCACCAGAAGAGCATTTTGAAAAACAGGCTAGGACGGAAAACAGCTCAAAGAAATAGAATGGACCTATCACCAGGCTAGAGATTGATGGAATCCCCTTGGTCAGTACTGCCTTGGAGCGGACGCTTGGGCGGTTGCCGGAAGTGGGTTGTAGTGGTATGATCATTCATTAGCAAAAAGGGACCTAGAGAATACCTAGACATCATTGTACTATCTATCTGAGCTTAAGGCATGAAACACGTGGTACCGTGGGGCATTTATTACAGTGATTATGATTTCAGAAGAGCTGAATGGCTGTTGTAACTGTGTATACTGCAGCTAAATGACCTCATAACAGCTCAGGATACAAAGAATATCCTGCATGTAATTCTATAGACACCGCCATAGACACCGTCACTTTCTGGAGACACCATTGAGAATTCCTCTGAGGTCATATCCTAGACTTAATCCCAAAAATGTAGGCTTATCTCTACATCTTCGGAAGTTCTAACCATCATTGAGCAGATTCGACTGACCCGTTGAATTCCGAGCCGGCATGCATGCATGCCTTGATTCGGAGCCGAATGGCGGAGTTTACAGCTGTGTACATCCGCAGTATTACCTAGCAGTATCAATGTCATTTCCTACCAGGATGTGTTTCCTCAGAAGCTACGTTGGACAGCTTCCTTTCTTTCAGTTATATCGACACTACTTGCGTGCTATGTTTCAAATCTGTCGATCACACGGGTAATCGTCCGTAGTTCTGTGGAAACCTCGATGACAGCATCGTCATATAGATAGCCACAATGGTAAATCAAGATACGCATGGAGGATCTATCTACCTAAGGGGAATAGACGCATCCAAGCATCTCAAGGCCGCACTTATGACTCAAATCCAGCAGTGTCCAATACAATAGTCCATACGCAAATGGAACAACAAACGATACTTCAGATAACGGCGCACTGCTTGAAAGTTAAAGAATTTGATGTCGTGTGATCCCCTACTGTTAGAACGAAAAGAGAGGGAAAAAAAATTCGTCTCATTATGGAGAAAGCCCCCCGTATTCATGGGCTCCATTCCCGAAAACGGCACCCCGTAGTGGGCGGCTAGCCTATACTTAGCAATAGCATCGGAGCGAGTATGGCATGATGTTGATGGGCCGAGCCTTACCTGTCAGATACTCACATTAGGGGCACTAGTAACGGGGAGTGGTTCACCTCGTCGATGTCGGGCATATGACCAGTACTTAAGACAGAGGACGTCATTTGACTTGAACGAGTTTTGTCACTTGGCAAAAGTGAGAATCGACATGTCAATTGATGTTGTTTATTCACGGGATGTCAGAGAGGAATAAATCTGTCAAAGGTTGACAGCTATGGTTCGAAACTTCCGCCAACTGGATGTAACTTTCCTGCAACTTTGGTATTCTCCGGCTGTATCCATACTGCGTCAATGAGAGAGACCTTGGGCAGTGGAACGATCATTGCAGGTATGTGGCTCTCATTCCATGTGCCTCGGAGCTTACAGCTTATCAGCCACGATATGATGCAACCAATATGTTAGGTACAGAGAACGATAATAATAGTTAAAATAATAATCCAGCAGCTGAAATTTAATCCGACATACAAGAATTCTCTTTACGGCACCTGGCTGATCTGCCATATCAAGATAGAAAAATACTCTTGAGGATTTGTTCGTTGGCTAATATATCAAGCATCCAGTCTGCTGCTTGCAGCACTTGAAGCATCGGATATCACCAGCAAGAGAATTTTCAGTTTAGAGAACTTAACAAACTGCATTAGTAAGATAGGTTCTAATGATGGGAGGGACTATCCAAAACTTTAAGAATGTTCTTGGAGTTTAGGCACATTGATTTGGAAATTTTCTGTCCGTCAGAGGACTGGGGAAAACCCCGTTGGCAAGCAAGTCCTGCATATCCCATCCTGGCGCCCCCTCAGTCTTCCAAGTCCAGAACAGCCAGCCATTCTTTCCTTCGTAGGCATCGAGCTGGGCCTCGATGAATCGTCGAGTATTAGTCCTCTCCTGGTCGGAAAGGTCTGCCACCGAGCCCTGAGACCGGTCTCCGCAATCGCCATACTTCGGGTTGTTGGCATACTCTCCTTGATAGCGCGTGGGAACATCCTTGCCATTTAGGTGCTTCGTGCAGTCAGTGACAGCGCCTGTCCATTCTCCGACAACAACTGGCTTATCCGACCCTTTAATTTGCTTGCCAAAGTCGCATGTAGATTTCACGTGGCCGTTGATATCTAGGCTGATCAGGTGGTTATCGAACATCACATAGTGGTGGGTATCCATGACCACATCGTCACCCGTCTTGAATCCGTTCCAGGCTTCCGTCGACAGAAAGCCATCGCTCAGGAACACGGAAGTGTCTGGATTAATTTGGCGCACAACGTCCACAATCTGGTTGTAGTAATCTCTCAACCCAGCCTCACTGACTCCACCTGGGATGTTAGGTTCGTTAAGAGCTTCAATGGCCGCAACCACGTCGCTTTCTGACAAATAACGCTCAGCCAGAACTCGGAAGGCGTCCACAGTTTGCGCAACGGTGTTGCCCTGCTGCCAGGCAATTGGTCCCTTACGTCCGCTGTTGTCAAAGCCATTTTGGGATCCCGGTGCTTTTTCGGATGGCAAGTTAGCTTCGCATGAGACTTGTCTCAGCAACTCTTCGCCACTTACCACCATGAAGATCAATCACAACCTTCAGGCCCGCATCCCTGGCCCAGGAGATTGCATTGTCGAGATATTCCAGCTGACCGTCGACGTACGGCTCGCCGGGAAGAGAACTCACAGCCCAGTACCCGATGGGAATACGGACATGATTCATACCAGCTCGAGCAATCTGATGGAAGTCATCCTGAGTGATGAAAGTCGACCAATGTTGAGATAGAACAGCCTTGGCTTGTTCCTGTCCCAGAGTAGCGGTCAACGTCCACTCATCAACAGCAGCGTCTCCAGCGTTCTCAAAGATCGAAGGCGTGATCCATGGCTCAAGGACTAGCCAGCCACCAATGTTGACACCGCGGACGATGCCGTTGTCGAATGTGGAAGCTCTTGATACAATGCGCCTAGACTTTACAGTCAGCAAACCTTATCGAGCGTTTGTGGTGAGGACTCACGATTTAGAAGGCACAGCCTCGGCCAGGCCAACGGCGAGGAATAGCGCCACGAGCGCCTTCTGCGAGAATTTGAACATCATTTTCTTGAAACGAACAATTCTTCACTGTAATAAGTGGGAGGCTGGGAAAGAAAATGGATATTGACGAAAAGATGTGCTCGAGGAATGGAAACGCTCTGCTTTAAGTAAACCTTTGCTGAAAGCACTGGTTGTCTGTCGACCGCATGCAGATTGGAGTCACAGCTTCCAATAAAACTGGTCTTTCTCACCAGGAGCGTGCAGTTTGTGTAACAGCGACATTCAGTAATGCTGGCCGCAAATTGCATGAATCTGGTGCAGCTTGAGTGCCCGATGGTTGGTGTTGAAAGCGGAAGAGCCGGAAACGGAATGCGTTCAAGCGTACAAAAACAAGAGCGACAGTATAACAATAATGATGAGTAATGGCTTCACAACTGGAGGAGACACAAAGACTTTGTCCCTATCTTGAAATGTCAAAGTTCTGGACGCTGCATACGAGCCTGTAGCACTGTTGGGTAGAACCCTACGAGCGAAGCCTTCCGGATTAGGCCTCAGGCGATGCTCAGAATGTGGGACAAAGTACTCTCAGACAAAAGGAGCATATGTTATGTGACGAGAAGATAAAGTGAACAAGGCAGTGGATTTCAGCGGAGTGATTTGTATGTTTGTTCTGAATCAGTGGCCAGTCTGGGGTTCATGAACATGGGAAGGAACATCCTCGAAGTGAGCTCAATGCAGAAGCTATTTTGCACATCAGACACATCTGTAGTTGTCCTCTTCAAGAACAACTCATCAACATACGGAATACTCGTTATTAGCTGGAGCAATTGAAAAACCAACTAGCTGCATTTGAGCCCCAAGGAAAGAGGGCTTATATCGGCGTGATGTTGCCAAACAGCTTTCGTGGCCTTCATGACGTCTGACTTACATCAGCGTAGGGTTTTGTCTTGCGAATTTCTGCATCCGGAGACGGCGCAGAAACCTTAGATAAAGTTGTTTGATATGCTCATTGAGGGACAAGGTTGACTGTCGTCAAGAATGTTGGACGGATTCAGATAAGCACGTGGTGGACAGTGTATGTATTGAGATTACCATCAGACAAGCTTTCTGGCACTCAAATTAGGGACCATTTCAGTAATGTCACGTATTGAACTATCCACCAAGCTATCAAAATCTCATCACTTATAGTATTAAATACTCCGTAACCTTTCTACAGATCGGAGCATCGACCCGCCTTTCCGTGAATTGCTTGCCATTCATCGCGCCATCGGGCGCATTCTTCACCTAAGCGCAGCCGGCGACTACATTGACGAGTTCCTTCGGGATATGGAGGAAATGGAGGGCGGTGAGGTTATGGCGAACGGGTCTACACGTCTTGAGGACTATGTGCTCTTCAAACTGGCCGGCACTTGCTGGCTTGATGAAACGTCTGCTGTTAAACAGCATTAGAGAAATGCGGCCCCGGTCACTGATCTGGGTGACTCAACGCCGGCAATGTAGATTGTTCATATGATATACTTCGTTATGCTCGCCAGAGGAGCGTTGTCTATGCTTTGAATCAACGAGGAGTCTTTGTAGATATGTTTCGTCACTTATGTCTCCTTGCCCTCCTCATATCAATCTTTATGTGCAATGCAATATTGGTATCATCTCATCAATCATATTCATCTATAGGGGTATTCTGAACTATGTGACAAGAATGTCCGACGAAACCACTACAACAGTCCCAAAGCCGCAAATGCAGCCACCACTTCACGATCTACATTGAGGAGCCACTCTTCCTGGAACCGCTGCTCGCCACCGCAACCAACAATGAGGGAATGCAAACGCTGGCGCACAAAGTCCCGGATGTTGATCTTATGGATCACATCTGAGGTTTCCCAATGCCGTCGGCGTTCATTCTCTGGCGGCTCAGGCCCATCGTACTTGGCATTCGGCGCGTTGTTCCAGTAGATGAGATAATCGCCGCTGCGGGGGTCGTTGGGATCGCCCTCGGTGCCTTCCGCAAGTTCCGTAACGATATCTGTCCAGATGTTCATGTATGATTGCAGGTGGTTGAGGATGTACGTAGGCGGCTGGGTATCGGGGCCGTTCAAGGCGAGAAGCTGCGTCAGAGCAAGCGCATGCAGTTTCTTCTGAGTCACGCTGCCAATGTTGTCGTAATGCAGGAACCATTCCGTGAGAAGCCAGGAAAGAACCTGTTCTTCGGGGGTCTGCGTGGCGGCGGAGACGGCGGAGACAAGGATCTTAGGATATGCCAGGGCTAAACGAGCGAGGACAGAATAGTAATCCGTCTCCACGACGCCGTAGACTGACGTTGGTTTCCGGCGTGGACCGGTCGTCTGACTAGCTTCGAAGGCGGAATGGAGACCTTCCAGGAGAGATTGCAGGAATGAGCTGTCAATGAGGGAGCGCGTGATGACGTTGTATGTGTTTTCGCTCCCTCCGTCAACCGCTTCAGCGCCGCGGATCATGAGCTCAACGAGGCGAGGCACAACGCCAATGCGTTGCCGGGTGGTGGATTGTAGGAGGGTCTCGAATGAGACGAGAAGGGGAAGTCGGATTCGGTCACTAAGAACCTCCTGGGGGGCAAGATAGATATAGGACTCTGCGATTTGAAGGGCCTGCGGGACACTATCCGTGGCAGCTTCGAATATAGGATATAACGCAGGGATGAGCGCAAGAAGCTCGGGTGACGCCGGTGCAGGTGTTTGAGTGAGGATAGCAGACCAGAGCTCTAGGGCCTCATCAAGAAGATATACCAGGGTTTCCTATCTTTGGGTTAGTTGTTTGAGGTCAAGTGCCAAAAAACAAGGACGTCTTACAGAGCCTGGCTCTACCGAACTGCTGATCAAGGGCAAGACAAGAGTGTGATACTTGATGGAGTCCTGCTTCAAAGAATGTATAAGGGACGAGATTAACGTTAGAATGGCCTGTTTCATGAGATGCTCCTCGCCGGATTGCTCCCACAATGGAGGCAGTAGAGCCAATATCTGGTCCGAGAATGGCGCGATCTGAAGGAGCGTTAGCAAACACGCTGACCGCAGTTGATGAAGGGGTGTATACATGATGCTCCATTTTTACCACCAAGACACGAACGCTCTCTAGAAGTCCCATCTTAGTTTCAGGAAGTTCGACCTCCTGAATGAGAGACATCAAATCCTGAAGAATGGACTGGGCATAGGGCATGAAGCCGGTAGGGGAGAATTCGAATGGATCCAGCACATTTTTGAGCTGTCTGCCAGCTGTGATGCGGACAACCAGGTCGTTCAAGGGATCCTGTTTGCTTAAAAGGTGTTGAAAGATCTGGTAGATGGCATTCCTGTTGAGCTCATCGGGCTTTACTGGTACCCATTGCCCAAGGATGATGGCAATTCGTCTCCTAAGGACATTGTAACCCTGATCCTGGATTTGAACTTCTTGAACAAGCGTTGTCTCCAGAAAACTGTTGAAGTCCAATTGCTGCTCTAAGCTTGCGGAAGCCAGTCCGATGGCGGAGTATAATGAGTCTTTGAGCAGTACGTCACGCTTCTCGGGACCTGAGGGAAAACGGTCAACAGTGGTCGTAAATGTCCTCCTCGGTGACTTGGACTTACTTGCAAACGAAAAGAAGACATTCAATAGTCGTGGAACCAGTAAGTCTTTGAAGTGGATGACCAGATCGAGGAACAGCTTCTCAGAGCACGATCGGATGGAAAATTCCCAGGCTTCAGCAATATCCTCCTCCTTCCTTTCCCACTCCTCCGGCTCAGCCTCCCATTCTTGGAAGTCAGATTTCCGGAAGCGGAAAAATTGAGTAACCAAGAGCTCCATGACACTGACAACGAACTCATGGGTGAAAAGATCCGACTTTATTTGTTCAATAGACCGTTGTTTCTCCTCTTTGTCTTGCGGGGTCTGATATTTGAATGTCTGAGCAGGATTGAACGCCATTTTGGAACAAGCCCTGATCAAGAGAAGGGCTCTGAGCCCCACCTTTTCCATAAGTGTCTTGCCATCGGAGTCACCATCCTCTCCCAGCTGGCTGTAGTTTTCTCCGAGTTTGACCACAAGGGTCCAGTAAGATTGAACAAGGGGAATGCTGTCTGGCAGCAAGGCGAATGATGCAGGCCGTTCCTTTGCCATCTCGACATGAAGCTTCGACAACTTGAGCAGATGTTTCTCTATCGACATCTGAACTTGCTCCGATAAAGACACGGAGCCGTTGACAAAAGCAAAGAAGCGACTGAAATGGGTATGGGTCAGGAGCCAGAAGTCCTGAGCCTCTTTATCACGATTGGGGTGCTCGAATCCCGCAATGATCAGACGCCGAAGAACCTTGAGACAAACAAGACTTTGCTCTGCCTCATTAAGTAATGCCGCCTCATCGACGCCGCCCTGCTCTAGAATAATGGTCCATTTGTTCACCTTCTCCACGTAAATATTGACCAAAAGGTGGAAGATCTCTGGTGCCACTGACTGAAGGTTCGCACGCGTTCTCTGTAGCCGAGCTGTTGACAATTCCTTGATTATTTGCAGTAGTATTGTGAGTGTCCGCGGTAATTGCAACGGGTTGGCGCCAGGCTGTGTTGAAGAGCGAAGATAGGTAATGATTGCTGAGATTCCATCTGGCCTGACAGATATCAGAAATGAACATCCTTGAGGGACAACAGAGACCACTCACCAGTCTTGCGGAAATTCGTAGCGCATGATCTTGGCAATCATAAAAGCATTGTGAAGGGCAAGCAGAGGTGCAGGTTCGACTACCCCAGCTTGTACGGCCCTCACCTTTATCCTCTCTTTCTCTTCCTTTTTGATGCCACTTTGAGAATGTCAGTTGTGGGTCCGACATATGCGTATCAGTGACCCTAGACCTACTTTGTCGCAGTCTTTCGCCAATACTTATCAATGCCGTTCTTCAACTGAATGATGGATAGGTAACGGACTTCGATGGGCAACGATTGATCTAGGAATATATCCTAAGAGAAAGTACTTAGTCAATATCCAAGACGGAACGTATAGGAAAGTAGGCGCAGTAATCAAACCGAGAAAATACCGACGTACCTGAAGTAGTGTGAAGTAACTTTCATGCTTTTCCCAGTGTTGCAGTTGCTTGGTACCGGTTTGCACCTGCTGCTGTGTGGAGCTGGCTGCGAGTGCAAGTGCATGAAGGAGATTCTGAGGGTTCAGCGGATTGGATTCGCCAGGTAATTCAACTACCTGGGCCATAATTGGCGATCGTGGAGTAAAGCGGTTGTTGACTTTGATCGTCGCGGATCTCAACCAAATCACGGTCAGGATAGGAGCTTCATGCACCTAGTTTGCCATATGTTCAGGACTGGTGAAGACTTCGATCTACCGCTTTAGGAATGATGTAGAAACGCGCGATGATAAAAAGAAAAACAACTGAAAGGAAGCTAAAAACTCAGAGCAGTCCAACCACGAAGCTATCTTTGTACTCCGTACAGTGTTTCTACTTTCTACTTCCTAGTCCCCGCAACTCCAAAGCGGGAACCTTGGAGTATCATTCTTCCGTCCCGCTCAAGCCCTAGGTTTTGACCCTCTACGCTAGACCATATTGGAAAGCTGAATTAGGGCTGAGAGCCCGAGTATCCAGATGAACTATGAAGTCATCCCCAAATGAACAGACGACACTTCCGTTGTCGCATGGCCAGTTTCCAGCTGGGAACTGTACAAGTGCCTTGCTCGAAAGAAGTGGGCCAAAATACTGGGCCAGATTACCACTCACTCAAGCAATTGGCGTACTATGAGGACAATAACCACCAAAGGATGCTGAGCACTCGTCTAGGCAGTGGGTTCTGTGACATCGACATGATGCAGTATGATGCAATGCTGTCCAAGGTCCCTGATGCTGGACGACATCAGATCCCAGGTATTTTATGCTGGGATTGACCAATTTTATCGCTAGCAGCATCGACAGCACACGCCTAATCCATCTACAATTCAACTCTACACCATCTCGCATACCCTACTACAGAAATTAGCCAGTATGTCCGATTACGACAACAATCTCAGAATCGCCCACGAGGCAGAGAAAGACCTGAACACCTACCAGGCCAAGCAGGGTCTTGGTCGTAAGAGCGATTCCAGTATGTCCTCGAGCTTTGCAAGACATGCCTAGTTAGTCGTGAGGCTAACCTTTATATAGCCGTCGAGTCTGGTGTGAACGCAATGGTCGACAAAAAGTTCGGGGAAACCGGCATCAAGACCGGGAGAGAAGCTGGCGCTTCCAGCAGCGGTCGTAAACCAATCCCCGAAGATGAGGGCGGCAGCCGAGATGACCGTGGCAGGTGAGACAAGGGCTCTGCTAGAGTGAAATTTCGTCACTTGTTCAATGAACTGACTTGCGTTCCGCGGCAGGATTTCAAAGGCTTTTCAATTCGAAGGGTCTGGTGAAGGACCGGAAGACAAGGTGAGGATAGAGTCTCAACGTCGTCCTGGTGACGATGATACTCTGAACCTCCAAGAGATGAAGCGCGAAGGACTTGCTCGGGAGATTCATTGAGTATGGACTCGGAATGCCGTCCTGGTGTTGATACTCTGAATGTCCAAGATATGGAGCTCGGAGCACATGTCCGGTAGATTTAGATTCATCCAATCCTAATGATGTATATGTACAATTATTCATAGGGCACACGTTAAGATATTGCGAAGGTCATACAACGTACCAAATGAACAATAAACGAGGATCTGAACTGCTGCCCTACAAGTCATATGTATTATGTTGCCTCACTTGATATTACGTAGTTGGACTTTGCCATCCTTCGTGGCTGATTAGGCTTTTTGTTTATTCTTCGAGGACTGTATCAAAGCTGTTTCTATCAATCCTCCTAACAGAATTCTGAACGATATCCTAGGACCTAAAGAAACGTCGGGACAGAACTGGCGGTTACTATCTGGAAGCCTAAAGCAGGAGATACCATCTTTTTTTTAATAATCGTCAAGCTATAATGTACAGATCATCGTTTCTATGGTCAGATTTACGTGTTCTTGGCCGTTAACCTGCTTGCGTTCTCATTCCAATAATTACCCATATCATGACGTCAGTAGAATCATGCCATTGGAGATTTAAAGCAGGCTCAGAGCAAGTCCCAAGAGGAGACCAGAGACACCGGCTGCAGGAGCGACAGCAGAAACAGCGGCGTTGGAGCTAGCTGATGGAGAGGAGGAAGGAGTACCATTATGGGTACCGGTGGCATTCTTTTTGGTGGCAGTCACCTTGGTGTTGTAGCCACTCGCAGTGTCATAGGGGAAGGGGCTCGTGTAGTTGTATGTTGGCTTCGTGTTGGCGTAGGTCTCCTTGACAATGTCCAAAATGCCGTGGCCAGCAGAGCAGTTGCCAGTGGTCAAGGCATTCGGCCAGACAGGGGAGTATTTCGAGTATTCGCCCGCTGACATGGGACCAGGGTAGGTCTCGTTGAGACGGAGATTGGTTGTGTCAACGTCGTAGTTGACATATCCCGTCTTATTTGCCACGATCTCAAGGATGTTCGCGCCGCAATCCCATCTTCCCAAAGAAGGAAGGCCCCAATTCGCGGACACAGAAGCAATGACTGAGTAGTGAGTATAGAAAGTATCATCCTGAGTACCCTTCAGCTCGTCGGGAATGGCACCACCAAGAAGAACACTGAAGATCTTGTTGCCCTTAGGATAAGTGTCATCCTCATCGAAGGTAAGCAGGATCAGGGTGTCATTCATGAAGTATGAGTTGTTAAGCAAGGGAGCAATCCAGCTTCGCTCCCATTTGGCTCCAAAGGTAATGTTGGTGTCATGGGCGTCATTAGTCATGTTTGGAGTGATAAAAGCCCATTGAGGAAGCTTCTTGTTGGCCAGGTCGTCCTCAAAGCTGGTAAAGTTCTTGATCTGGCGCAAACGAGTGCTGTTCTTGGTGACAGAATCATACAAGACCAATGGATTATGCTTGCGCACATAGTCATTGGCATAAGTCTCCTGGTTGGAATAGTTGAACCCCTGGAATCCGGGATAAGGTAAGTGCTCCTGATACTCTCCCCAAACAATGTTCTTGGTGTCCAAGAGATCAGCGATAGTAGAGACATTGGCAGGAATCTGGTCGAAGTTGTCATTGTCCATGCCGAATGTGTCACCTCCAGCAGCAGCGCAGTAGTTTGGTTCTGAAGGATGCGTGACTGCGTAGAAATTGGTGCTGCGGGGTAAATTAGTTCCAGGTCGTGAAGGAATGGCGGATATGAGAACTTACAGCAGGATCCCTTGCGAGGCCAGCCATTTCATGTTCGCATCTGCCGCAGCATCCTCGTAGTCCTTCTGAGGTCAGCTCTGAACAGAGATTTTGTGATTGATGAGGTAATCACATACAATATTTTCAAGCCACACTTGGAAGAAGCGATTGAATGCAACACCCTCAACGTTCGAAACTGGAGAGTAAGGCTTGATGGAGGCTGCTGCAGATTCTATCGCAGAAAGAGAAGGCTCCTTCTCAGTAGCCGTCTGAGCATAGGTCAGAGAGGCAGTGGCAAGCAAAGTTGCGATGGAAGACTTCATCTTGAAGACCTGTTTGCTATGTACGATGAGAAGACCAACGAGGCAATATCGACTGTGAGAAAATTTTGGAGACTGAGATGATCTGACAGCTTTATATATGTGGGCAAAGCAATCAACAAACTACCACACCCAGTCAGCAGGTGTTACGTCAAAAGTCACAAGGTATCCTGGCCAGAAATGGCAAGCTACTGACAAACCAGAAGCAGAAGGTGCCAACGACTAGGTAGGTGTAACCACGCAGCCAGCAGAGCTCGTCTGATTCGACAGGCAAAGAGTGAGAATGGAATGATGATGGCTATTCACTGATCAAATAATTATTGATAACAATTCTCTGTTGGCACCTCCGAAGAGTTCGACATGGGACAGGCTTGATTGAAATGGCCAAAAGCCACAGATCAAACTAATGTACAGTCAAGAATCGCAAGTGGATCTAGTGTCGCGGGGCCGAAAATGATTTAGTACTCATCATTGGTCAATGGATGGCTGGGGTTAAGGCTTAGGGTGTCTTAGCCTGGGTGACCATGTTCGAGTGGAGACTCATCTTGGGGCAGAACCCAGCACGTGCTTGAATTGTTATCCCTCAGAGGATACAGCAACGAACTACAGGGTACCTACCAAGTACATTTGGATATCTTGGTGCCTTGGAGAGCAAGCACAGCAGGGCTTTGAAGTCTCTGTGAGTCAAGCTCTCATTTAGTGGTAAGCTAGTAAGGACTTGTGGCCTTATGGAGCCACTGTTACATCTCGACGAGGATAATCCGAGAGAATAACTCCATACTATTGCTTCTCCGCAATCTGACTGCTCCGTACCAGCAACTAATAAAGAAGGCAGTAGAAGGAAGTGTCTTGGGAGCATACTCCATATTCCGAACAAGCTATTTCGGAAGTTTCATCCGACTTCTTCCTTACGGTATACATCTTGACTCAATCCCTTCTGTACATAGGCTTGTAGCAGACCTATGGTACTGGTTCTTAAGATCCTGTATCAAGGCTTATGGCATCCGTTTGCTAAACATTTCCGCGGCTAGGAGACTCTCTACGTCAATGTGGCATGTAATTTAGGGCTAGTTAAATGCTTCGTCGGAGTGAGATAATCTCGCAATATGTTCATTCGAAAGAAACATAAAGTATTGATCTAGGATGGAGCCGAGATCCTCAGCATCTAAAATCAGAATCATTACACTGCTTCAGGTGATAACGGACATACTTCCCCAATAATCATTTTGGCTCCACGGCTGATTGTCCTGTCTTCTGTTCAGGTCGCTGTCGTAATTGGCAACTGGGAATAAATGATTTGACGATGAAGTCACGTGCATCGGTTCAACCTCGGCACGTCCCAATCTCCGTCTGGGGAACCAACCGACGCATTGACTCTGTACCGCGTTAACCTACGGGCCTCGACTTGTCACTCTTCCCTTCCTACTCCTTTCCTAGAGTACGCACACGATGATAGTACAATGAGCTCAACAAACTTTGCCGCTGCTCAGGAACGAGTCCTAGAACGTCGCCGCTTGCGCGAGACCGAAGCTCGCAACCGGCTGGCGGAACAGCAGCGTGCATCGCCGCTGAATCATCCAGCGCTCAGCCGACTACCGTACCCGTTGAACAGAATCCCACAATCCGGTGTCGCGGTATGGAACTCCATCAAGGGGCGAGAAGGAAGCAGACCTGCTTTCCGTGTTGGTCAAGTGGATGCCGAGCTCCTCGACGAAGAATTGCTAGGTTTGCTTAAGGGGCAGGTTGGAGATGCTTTGAAGTACTTCGGGGTATAGCCTCATATCGCTGCAATTTCAATCGCCTATCTCAGTATCACTAATTATCTTGATGTTATGCTAGCCTCAATCACGGGAAGACTGGTCTCACGAAATTCAATTCGCCCTCCGTGCAATCCTGTTCAAACTTTCGATATGGGATCATAATGCCTCGTACGGTGCTGCCCTCCAGGGACTGCGATACGTCGACAGTCGCAGCAAAGGGCCCGTCCATTCTACTCCCACAAAATGGCAAAAGAGCCTATATGGGTTACTCACAGTTGGTGGTCGCTACGCCTGGGAGAAATGGGAGTCGTGGTTGATTAGCCAAGAAGGCGGTTATGAAGAGGTATGATCTCGATCATTTTAGTTGGGGATTATCCGGTCTTGTGCTGACTGAACCAGCCATCCCGGGAGGTTCGAATGCTAGCTCGGCTCACGGATTTAATCTCTACCACACACTCAATCGCAGCTTTCGTTTCATTCCTCGTCTTCCTGGTGAACGGTCGATACCGGACATTAGTCGACCGAATTCTTCGCATACGCCTTACCCCCCCGTCAGCTCAGTCTGCTCGCGAGGTGTCTTTTGAATACCTCAATCGGCAACTCGTATGGCACGCCTTCACTGAATTTCTTCTCTTCCTGTTGCCCCTTGTTGGAATCAGTCGGTGGCGGCGGTGGCTATCTAGAGCATGGAGGAAAACGATATCTGCGATCAGATCGAGGGATGACGACGAAGATGAAGTAGAGAAGCAGGGAGAACTGGCGTTCCTTCCAGAGAGAACATGTGCTATATGCTACAAGGACCAAAATCCTGCCTCCACTTCGGAAAACGACATCATTGCGGCGTCGGCCGGGGGTATCGTCGGGTCTGCACAGACAGACATCACAAATCCTTACGAGACCGTCCCTTGCGGCTGCATATACTGCTTTGTTTGCCTCGTGCAGAAGGTGGAAGGAGAGGAAGGAGAAGGCTGGGTTTGTTTGCGTTGCGGCAAAATCGTGAAAAAATGCAAGCCATGGAATGGCGACGTCCTTGAAGAAGTTCGACCTCCCACAACCTCCGGAAAAATTGTGGGGTTTGCTATGGATGAAGATGCAGTTACTCAGGATTCTGTATCTGGCCAGGAACCAAAAACTCTTGCTGAGGAGTTAGCTGCCTCGCAAGAAGTCGGTCGGGACGAGGCATTGGACCACTCTGGCCAGTGGTCTAAGGTAGACAATGAATCAGTGGGTGAAGAGGAGGTCGAATTGGACGAGGAAGTCAACGAATCTACGTGACACGTACCATAGATATTTTTTTTTTTTTTTTTTTAATCCTGTTCGTTTGTGAGCTTTGTGGTAGCTCACAGGCTGTATATAAACTGCGACTGCTGGCTAACTGGCAGGCAGCATGCATAATCTTCCCGTCCTTGTGCACTAGTTTAGAGGGCCCATTCCTCATTGACAGATACCCATAAATATATCATTTGCCCAAGCCTAGTGTAAAGATTTGACTGTATGATATGAATGACGACACAGGCAACTGAAGTTCTGAGCCTGCTATTGCTAATTTGCAATCTGATCAATCTACCGGGCCCAGCTTATGCGCGCCCAACCCAAAAAATCACAGTCCTGGAAATGTATTGCAATCAAGCGAAGCTAGGTAAATGTAGCCGAGAAATGATCCTAAATCTGCTGCAGATGATTGACTGATTCCCCCCCGCACCGGAGTGTTGGCCGACCCCGCCAGCGGAGAGAGGATCCAACTCCGATCCCCTCAGCCTGAGGGGTGCAAGTGGACAACGGCAACTCGGATTTGAACCGCACATCATATTGGTGTTACTGTATGGTTGTCATGGGTTTGATTTTATAGACACGTTATATACTCCATACCCTACTTTCCCCACAACCTCTCAATCGACTGAGTACTTGACTCATACAAATCTCTCCCATCACACCATGGACTCCTCTAGCTCCAAGTCGTCCGACACCCAGGGCGAAGCCAAGTATATCAACTTCCCCAGTCTTCCTAACAACGCAAAGCATGAAGATGGCACCCCTGCGCTGAACCGATATTCTTCTTATATCACTCGCGGCCATGACTTTCCTGGTGCTCGGGTTTGTTGCCATCACTGAGCTGTTGATGAACTGTGCAGACTAACAATTGGCTCTTGTATGACTGGATAGGCTATGCTTTTTGCAGCAGGAATTCCGGATCGCGATGCGATGGCTAAAAGTCCACAGGTGGGAATTGCCAGTGTCTGGTGGGAGGGAAATCCCTGCAATATGCATCTGCTGGACTTGGGCAAAACGGTGAAGAAGGCCGTTACAGATCAGGGCATGATCGGTTGGCAGTATAATACCATCGGAGTTTCAGATGCTATTTCAATGGGTAGTGAGGGTGAGTGGTTGAGGAACAGTGCTACAATGTCTGCGTGAGACATTCCTGACGTGTATTCACAGGCATGAGATTCTCTCTCCAGTCGCGTGAGATAATTGCCGACAGTGTTGAGACTGTGACTTGTGCACAGTATCATGACGCCTGTATTGCTATTCCTGGATGCGACAAGAATATGCCTGGTGTTGTGATGGGTATGGCGAGACACAATCGGCCTTCGCTTATGATTTACGGTGGCACAATTCAGATTGGATACTCGAACCTGCTGCGAAAGCGCGTCAATGTGTCGACTTGCTTTGAAGCTGCTGGCGCCTATGCCTACGATACTTTGCGTCAACCGGACGATGGGGGTGATACCAGTAAAACCAAGGATGAGATTATGGACGACATTGAGAGACATGCTTGTCCCACTGCGGGCGCATGTGGAGGCATGTTTACCGCAAACACAATGGCCACGGCGATTGAGTCCATGGGTCTGTCCCTTCCAGGATCATCATCAACGCCTGCCTCGTCGCCATCGAAGATGCGAGAATGTGTTAAAGCGGCAGAAGCCATCAAGATCTGTATGGAGAAGAACATTAAGCCTCGGGATCTTTTGACCAAGCGCTCCTTTGAGAATGCGCTCGTCATGACGATGGCTTTGGGAGGAAGTACCAATGGTGTCTTGCACTTCCTTGCCATGGCTCGGACGGCTGATGTGAACCTGACTCTGGATGATATACAACGGGTCAGCAACAAGATCCCATTCATTGCTGACTTGGCCCCCAGTGGGAAGTACTACATGGCAGATCTGTACGATATTGGAGGGATCCCTTCGGTGCAGAAGTTGCTGATCGCAGCGGGCCTTCTTGACGGCGACATCCCCACGA